GTGTCAAACCCTAATGTTTAGTAGGAAATGATCATGGTTTCATAGGAAACCGTCAGGATTCAATGAGAATCCCTAAAGGTTCGGTATTTTGTTACGAAACCAATTTTTTCATCACGGAACCTAAAAAAGGTTTGGCATTGAGAGGTCAGACCGTGTATTGAGAATAAGAACCATTAAAGGTTTCGTATATCTGAAAACCCATTTTTTTGATTCTACACACCTTCAGGAACATTTTCGAAAGGTTCTGTAAAATACCGATTTTTTTTAGAGTGTTGTGCTTTATATTAGCTCATTTTGGCAAGAATAAATACGTTTACTACTCAAAACAAGTAAGGTTCATCAGCATTGAATGTTGATTCACTAGGTTCCACACTGACGAGATGATGACAAAGATGCTCTTCGATTTTTACATACAAATCAATTCTGTGCAATGATGACTTTAGGGTGAATGATAAATATTTTTAGCATGTTGTATACTACCTGCTGTATACATATTCAAACAGTTGACATGAAATACTGAAAGAGTATATATGTATATAAAATAGTTTATGCTTTTGTTGAATATAACGACTAAAAATGGTGATTTATACTATAAATCCGCTTCCGTAATAGAAACTTCCTCCAGGTGGGAACAACGTGAAAGGTGTATTAGCATCACACTGACTTTAAAAGCTTCTGGAAAATCTTTGTTAATATTTTCATTGAAAAGCTTTCTAAATGCTCAAGCTAAAGATGAAAATATATTAAATTCCTTTACTAATCAGCATAAAAATCTTGAAATCCCCTAGAAATTCGTTTGAACAACTCTTCAAAACCGTAAAAAACTCCTTGAGTCCTTTGAAATCTTTTGCCATCCGAAAATATTGAATACTTTTAGGACTTAATAGAAGTCCCTCTGAAACTTTCAGATGATAGATCAATTAGAAGTCTCCGGGGGGCTTCTACACTATGTGGATGCTCCGTGATAGCCATTTCTAGCATAGATATAACCAATTCTAACACAAACATGATCATCTGTGCCATATGAGTGATCTATTGTGACATAGAAATGGTTCATTGTGCCGCGAAAATGGTCAATTGAGCAACAGAAACGGTCATTTGTGTCAGTAAAATGGGTTATTGTGCCGACTAAATGCTTATTTTTGTTATAAGAACAGTATTTATGCAACAGAAATGGGCAACTGTGCCACCAAAATGGTTATTTATACCATGAAAATGGTCATTTTCACCAAGTGTTGCAAACATCGGACAAGGCGAATTTGTGTTTCTTGACCCTACCATTTCAGTCTAGGAATAATATTTTATTCGAGATGGCTTAGAATTAAGTAGTGGTGAGCATATTTTTGTGAATTTTATGATACAATACTGAGTATTTGAGCGACGGTACAGGTGCGAGTGTGGTTGTAGAGAACATTCAACATTTTCACCTGCACCCTCGTAACCACACGCCGCATCACAGTACATCCAAATTGGCACCCATACCCCACACGCTTACATTGGAAGATTTTTACTATGAGATAGACCTACGATATATACAATGTGTAAAAATTATAGTTCCAATTGACGTTTTGAATGCGGAGATATGGATGTAGGGAATTGATTTATTTAGGAGTATATACATGACTGTAGCACTCGTATTCTTTTTATAAAAAGAGAGATAAAATATGATTAAATGTTTTTAGCACGGCTTCTCTTTACGCAATGCGATGGGGGTGGATAAGGATTGTAACTTGAATGTGTTTCACACATTAAAACAATCTTTATTATGTATAAGATTGCTAATGTAACTGCATCATCATTCTATAAAGTTTCGGTGTTTTGCGCCACTCTCTAGAAGAGATTGATTTCATACAGGACTATAATATTCCTTGCATGAATATTAAGTAGAGTATAGGTTTAGCGTTTTGGTGTTAATCTTTTGATAAGCGACGTCCACATCCTTAGGTGAAGAATCTCCCCATGGTGTCTGTTAGTAATCTTATGAAAAAGCTGTTAGCGTAATGACTTGCGGGATTAAAAATGTGAAACACGATGGATCTATTGTTCAACATTTCAACACTCCATTCAGATTTTGTTTCATAAAAGCACAGTTGGAAACAGGTAAACTCTAGTTTTGTTCATTGTGAGGTTATAGATCTTAATAATCTAAGAAAAATCTAGCAGTTTCTTCAATGAAGAACGTGCGCCTTCACTAAAACCTTGTTGGATAAGTGTACTCATTGCACTGTTTTCTCAAACTCATGAAAAGACAATTTGTGCCGTAACCCGAAACTTATTCTATCGTACTGAACTTTTTAATTTAACGTATCAAACAGCGATGCTTGTTTGAACTCTATGAAACTCTCACCGTTTATTTCCACATTTTCGTATTGTCTTTAATAATATTTCTACTTTACACTAGCATATTCAAAAATATCTTTATAGGCGACATCTCTGAACTGCAAAAATTTCATTTACCTGGTCACCATTCTATTGTGACACTGCTGTTATTAATAGATCTGAGGTAGCATGTTTTTATGAATTCTTTGTGATGCAGAACTGTTATTGAATATTGAAATATATAGTGAGAAAGCTGAGCTATTCTTGATCTAGTGCACAGATTGAGACAGATATTTCAAGAAGTTAATTTCACTATAAAAAATCACACAATGATTTGTAATATATTGCCCTGTCGGCTCCATCACACGTGGGAACATTACGACGAGCTGTGAGATAGAGAGGCATTCTGTCAACGACTCAAGTGCCTTTTCCATGTTTGTAATTTTCATTACGTTGTAATTACCCTGATAACATATTTCACTTTCTTGAGGGTGGGTGTAGAGTTATAGGTAATTCAAAATAAGGCTTTCATTTTAGGAAACAGTGTGAAGGTCATCAGAATGCAAATGCTCTCTCAATACATCTACGACCGAATTTCGAAGTTGTGACCTGCTGAAGAGATCGTAGCAAATATTTTTTGTTACACATGTTTTTCTTCGTTGTGTAGCATTGGACAAAAGACATCATTAATATGTGGAATAAAACAGTTTTCTATTTTTCTTCGCTTGCACTCATCGGATATATACTATATTGGCTTTGTTTGTTAAATTTAAACCCGATCACTATTTGTGTTTCTACAAAGTATATGAATGCAGAGTCATCTCTGATTCGAATGTATCCTCGGTCTCGGTTTCCGTTTTATGGAAAGAATGCAATCGGCTTTCTTGTCGCTGAAAACTATGCAGCAGTATCGTCTCAATTAGTCCAACTGGATAACGTATTTCAAGATAACCAAACTTCCATTATCATTATATTCCACACCGGATATCCGCTAAAAAAGGATTTTCTACTAATTAATAATGCAACACAGCGACAAGTATTCTTTCTCAATATCGATCATATGTTTTATTCATTGTCACGTGGCTTTGATCCTTATCTGACCGAGCCAACCTTTCGGAAACGAGGTAAATGGAACTATCATCACATGATAAGATTCTGGTTTAAATTAGTCTTCGAGTTGCCAGAACTAAAAAGTATTGAATATTTGATGCGTTTAGATGATGATTCGAAAATTCTTGGAACTTGGTTCAATGTATTTGACGTAATGAAGTCAAAAAAAGCAGTTTATTTTGCAAATGACGAAAGATATGAATACGAAGGTGGTCTACCAGGAACCATGAACGTGAAAAATCTAATCATCCACTATCAAAAATCTGCTAAAATATCAGTACAGGATCCGATCAGATTGAAGCGTGTACTAAGTAAAACAAATGCAGTGCTATCTTACTACAACAATTTTGAAATAATGAAACTTTCTTTTTTTCGCGCCAAAAATGTACAATCCTGGATCGACAATGTCGATTCAAGTAACGGAATATTCAAGTATCGATGGGGTGATGCCATTCTTCGTTACATCACATTGGCCCTATTCGCAAAACCGAGCGAAGTACTTCACAGATCTAATTACAACTTGTCTTACTGTCATCCCTGTGCACGTCGCACTAAGAAAATATAGGAGCAAAATATAGAAATGCAGGATTGGTACTGAAGAGAATATAAATCCAGCTAAATAGTGAAGTCAATCGCTAGTAGGCTTTTTGACAAGCTAAAACCTGTTCTGTGAAAATTGTTGTAGCATAGTACAGTCGTACCATGCAGTTTCTGTAACGTGATTTTACCTGATGCGTGACTGTTTTCCTTTAATTTACTTTGTAACATGCCTTTATGGTTGCACTTATTTTTTCCGGCAAGCAATCCAAAGCTTACGATTAAATTCTCAACCATTTGAGAAATGGTCGAGGGGTGTTCGAATATGAGAATCTTCTCTACATCCATACCTACACATTCAAAACACCAATTGGAACTAGAAATTTGTTGCATTGTATATCAGATCCCGAATCGAACCGACTTATGTTGGTTCGAGTTCGGTTCGGTTCGAATTCGTTTTTGTTGAACAAGTTCGGGTTCGGTTCGGTTCGATCTAACCAAGCTTTCATCTACTGTCTATAAGAAAAACTTCTAAGCCCCATTACATTCACAGCTGTGTCGTAAAATACCGTGTCTAATGTATAAATAGTAATTCCCCCTAAACTGCAAGAAGTCTTTTAGCATTTATTCAGTTTTTCCTAAAATAATTCTTTTATTTTTGATACATATAAGAATGACATGGATAAGTTGAATAGTCAAAAACAAAAAAATACGACAAAAGAGTACAGAAAAATAAATACTTATACGAAATACAATTATAAACGTCTTTTATTATTTTCCACTGAGCGTAGAAAAAGTATATCATTAATTGTAGTAGGTTCAATGCTAGATCGACGCTGCGTGACTACCTGTCCAGCTGCGCTAAATGCACGTTCCACAACGGCAGAACTGCACGAAATAGCAAATATTTTCCTTGCAAGTTTACTTAAATAAGGGAACATTGATTGATGTTGTTGCCAAAATATAAGTGGATTTGTATAAATATCATTATCCTTAAGTTGTAAATCAATATATAAATCGACTTCATCTTTTGTTTATGTCACTACAACTGGAGTTACATCATCCATTAATGATTCTAAGAAAAGTTTCGGTTTCTTTGTTAAAGGTTCATTAATATCACTACAATCATTAGATGTTACAGTTGTCGAAGTTGATGATGGTGGAATTGTCATTCGACATGAACAATGACATTCAATTATTTGCATTTGTGTAGCATTTCTTAATTGCTTATAATTTGAATGTAAAGATGTTTCCATAACGTGGAAATTTTCAATTTTTAACATAGATTCTAATAACTGTGATGTTCGTTTAGCAAATAATTTCATACCGAAATAAAAAATAGGAGAAAGATCGTAAGAATATTCTTTATAATTAATGGAAAAAAACTCATCACCTCTCATTGTTCGTTCCATTTTTGTAATTTTTTGTTTCAGATAACCGATACAAGGTAATGTCATAAATAATGATGGTGAATTACCAAGTTGAATTTCATTCATTACATATTTCCATGGCTCCAAAAATTTGATTAATTGACTAACAATATTCATATTGATCTTCTCATGTCTTGATGACTCTTATTTTTCATGTAAAATATGTTTCAGAGGGTGATAAGCTTTTTCAATACTTGATAATAATTCATGTAAAGAGAGCCATCGAACGATCGAAGATTGATGAAGAGTGGTAAATTTTGAGAACTGTGGGGTGTGGGTGTGGGCGCAAGTGTGAAGAAAACGTATGGAACCACAACCACACCCGACACCCACACTCAGACCCACACCCCATACCCACCCACACACCCACATCCACACCCGTGATTTGTATTTTTGAGAAATATAACTTGATCTGTTTCACATTGATTTATTTATACCCTTGAGAATTGACAAATGGCTCTGGAATCTTAAGTGAAGAATGACCGAATCGATTGAGCATGAAAATTTTGCTCGAGAAATCGTTCTTGAATAGTGTCATAACCGAAAGTTCTGTACAGGAAGAGGGAAGACATCAGAAAAAAGTTTCGGCAAAGGGAACAGAAATCTGTTTGATTATATAAATAACTTGTTTATTCTTAAACAATCCCAGACTTTGTCGTACTTGTAATCAATACATTATTCTCATAAAAGACCTTTTCTTAAACTGAACATGTTGATGGGAGAGATGAGATAGGAAGGCAAAGTTGAACAAATAAACCCTTGAAGTCCATCGAAGGCATAGCCCAATGTACAAATGCACGTGGCTGGTTATAGATTATGATTTTAATTTGACCAATATGCGAACTTCGCTAAGCTGCTTATCAGAAAAAATACAAATATTAGAAACAAAATTTTTCGTTGAAATTGTACTAAGTCATCATTATGTAGTGAGTCGATGATTGACAATAGCAATATTCATGTTTCGAATTATGGCACGAGCCTATTAACTGCTTTTATAGCAGAAGCAGTCGCATATTGCTTTTATGGTACTTTTTTCTTCCACAGAGACTACTGTTTTGGAGAAAAATGAGGTGCTTAAGAAAGAACTGGAGCAATATCAAATTTCTATTCATCGCAAAAGCACATCATGCGATTCTTCATTTTCGGCAAATACGAAAAACGTTACGTATTCATTAAATGTAAAGACGGGTGTTGTCACTATTCTATCTCATTTCAACACAAGCGATGGTTTCAATAGTGATTCGTTGCAACGTATTCGTTCTATTCAGGTAATTCTAAAGCCTATTTTTTCCTATTGATCTAATGTTGAAAAATATACTTTTTAAGCCTTACAGGTTTGATTCTTGTTTTATTTTACATGTTATACTATTAATATCGTATGCCATTAATTCGAGTGAAGCCTTAATTCTGTCATGGGATATCTCAGTACGATCGATGTTCGCCAAATAGTGTATGTGCCTGTTTCTATATAGCGGGTGCTATTGACGTTGGCATTTGTGGCGATGAATTCGTAGATTGTTCTGAGCTAGTTTCATGCGAAATCTCAAACAACCTTTGTCATGAACCTAACCATAGATGTGTTCATCATCCTCTATGTCACAGTCTTCCTGTTTGTTATCCAGTACCGAATTTCAATCAACAACTCTGTCCACCGATAGCAAATAAGAAAAAAACACTAATCGTGAGATTCAAGTGAAAGCCTAATCTTTCTTGATGTGATTTCTTCATCGATCACACATCCTCACATATGTAGTCGATGGTGATGTAGGAGCGGTGGGAAGGAGCCGAAGAGCCTATTGAAAAAAGTAGATAGAATATGACAGAGACAACACGAATTGTAATTATTGAAGAGGGACTTTCTTCTCTCCTCATGGACTGTATTCATCAATTTGAAACATAGAGCCTATTGTACTTATATCCATCACTACATCGAGACGCAAAGAACTTTTGAATGTACATGAAAGTTTGGAATAAATTGAATAATTGACCATTCGATTCGATTTCATTCTGTAAAACGTGTCATATGTTAGCATTTCCATAGGAACACATCGATTCTATCGTACCATACCTTTCTTTATTCAGTTTTCATTGTATACTCGACTGAGTCATGTAAATACCGAGTTCACTCTACAGTCTTTTTTCAAAACAACTATGATTGATATCTAGTTCGAAAGAAAACGCATTTATAATTCTCTCTGACATATTTCTAATGACTAAACTTGTGAAACTGCAGACCAATCATTTCGATATGACGTACTCATCGGTAGAGTTCAAGAGAGCTTTAGTAATTTCATGGGATAAATAGGTAACTAATGATTAGTAATTCAACTGCACATATGAATCGTTTTTTCACAGCAGTAGCACCATTGACTTAGTGGCCCCAGTAAGATATTATTAAGCTCAGAATGTGCCCTGCTGAACCATCTTTGAAACGACTATTTCTTTTGCAGATTATGCCTCAATGTGTCGGAGTTTCGGGAATTTTTTTGAGAGAAGAATGGGTGTGGGTGTGGGTGTGGGGTGCGGGTATGTGTATGCGTGTGGGGTGCGGATGCTTCTCAAAATAGGACTCACATTCACACCCACAACCCACCCTTTGTATTAGGTATGAATTCATCAAAATGTATCAGGTTCTATAAACAAAGAAAAAGAAACAATTCGTATAACTGTTGAAAATAAACTTCGAATTTTAATGTGTTTACAATGTACTAGCACGTTATGAATAATTTACAATTTTGTAATAAGGTCGTTTTAACAATATATTTTCGTTAGAACGGCTTTATTACGAAGCATTTATGCATTCTTTTCGAAGTGAAATGGGTCTAATACATTCAGAAAAAAAACGTCGTGTTCAATATATATTTTTTCTATTTAGTGTTTTCAAGTATTAGTGGTCGGAATATAGTTTATTTATTTGATTCCTTGTTATTAATCATTTACATTAACCAAAATTGATTTCCTTCAAATTATTGCTTCTACTGAAAGGAAGGTAATGCACGGAGCAGCTGTCATGATTAAATATTCGTTTGTTAGTGTATTTTATTAATAAACGCATTAATTTATTTTAAGGATACGAATAATGAATAGTCATGCTTCATTAGTTCATCAAGAAAGTATAAAATATGATACATATCTGTCTTATTTATAGAATATCCAAATTATTTCGTCTAGACTATATCATTGTTTTTAGTTTAGCAAAATAACTTTCATTCATTTATCATTCGTAAACGATTCAATCTTACAACCAATTAGTGTCCACGTTAAAAGTAATTGATTTATTGATGATGGTTATTTTCATTATAGCCAGCAAATCTTGGAATCACTTTAGGATGAGGATATTGATAATATGTATGCAAATGAAGCTGAATTCACTCGTCGAGCATTGCTTGCTTTGATGACAAATAAATATTACATTCATTCATGATCAGTATCATTTTATTAATGTATACAGGCATGAATAACCACATAATCAAAAATATTGTAATTAACTTGAATCATTGTTGATACTATTCATTCAGCATGGAATTCTCTCACATGGTAGATACTCTTATTTATCAAATAGACTGGGTGAATTCATGGGAAACGTACCACTTTATACATGACTTTCTCAGAATCGCCTGAAACTTTCAGGGTTTGTAGAACTCAATGAGCTGATCATTTTGGTAATAAATTGTTAAATGTTTGAATATAGACTCTGATTCAAATAAGCAAAATACGATTTTCGAAATTTTGGGAAAACCATCGTCAAACTGAAAAGTTCTAGTTTTTGCGCGAAGATTTTCTTTTTAATTTTAGGACCAAAAGAAAACATCCTATATATATTCTGATAGCCCACGTTCAGCACTATCGAACCACGTATGAGTCAAGTTGTTCAGTTTCTAAAAGTGAAACTTTTAATGGAAGCTCAATCGTTTCACTGCTACGAAAACTTTGTCTTCAAATAAAAAATCTCTTCCGAATTTGGGTGAAAGGTGGCATACTAGATTTTGTAGAGCGGCGCTCGCTCTATCTTGTGGTATATAGGGCTGCTCAGCCGGTTTCCATTTTCGCTCCTTAGAAAGTCAAGATATTTATCCATTAGCTTTTTTAACAGTTTTGAGCTCATATTTCGGGAAGTTTTTAGTGAAATACTCGATAGATTAGTCTGAAAATTAAAATCCAGATAGGTCTCAACTAGTAGAATAAAAGTCATGCGAGATTTTACAAACTATCATATTGTCTTTCACATCCTCTTATATTAGTAAAATGTCAAAACCATTGTTTGAACAGTTCACGCTCAAAAGAGAGAGGGAGCGTATTAGAAGCCAGTTCGACCCATTTGAAGTTTTTTGTCCAACCCCATTGAATCTTATACCAATATTAACAGCATGTTGAAAAAAGCATTTCGACGCTATCTTCGTAGGTTTTTGACCGAACTTTTAGAACAAAAAGCCATTAACGAAGCAGCTCACTTTTTGGTCATTTGTCCAATAACCTACTCTCTTATGGTCAACTTCTTGTTAGAGTAAATTCAAAAGAAATGATACCTGTATAAATTCAGTATTTGATAGTGTTTTAATAGGATTTCAATCCTACATATGAATGAATCAGTGATTATTTGATTCAATGGGGAGGAACCTCGTATACTGTTAGACACTGTTGATATAGGTCCTATATTTATGATCAACTCTTATTTTTCAACAAATATTTTATCATA